TAGACCCAGGGTTTTAAATGATATCTTGAGGCATAAAAATTGTAGAATTGATTTTTTCTAATCCCCTGAGCTACTTTAAACTTGTTTTTTTAGGCCAAACAAATCTATAAAGACATACCTTTTCTAAAAGCTGTCCTCTCAAAGTTCTCTCTCTTGCTCTCTCCTTGCACCCCTTCTCTCTCTGTCTCTCCCATCTTTAAACTCTCACTCTCTCTCCTCCCGCTCTCTTTCTCTTCACATTTCTTATCATCTCCCCTCACTCTCTCTCCTCCCAAATACATTGTAAGTATAGAGAGAGAAAGAGAGGTGTTTGGATAAACACAAAAAGAGAGAGAGTATTTGGTGGTGAGAGGCTATTGGGAGAAGAGAGAGAGAGTTGTTTGGATAAGCACAGGAAGTGAAAAAGATGTTTGGATAAACACGAGAGGAGAGAGATGTTTGGTGGTGAGAGGTTATTGGGAGGAGTGAAAGAGAGGTGTTTAGTTAAACACAAGAAGAGAGAGAGGTGTTTGGATAAACATGAGAGGAGAGATGCTTGGTGGTGAGAAGTTATCGGGAGGAGAGAGAGGTCTTTGAATAAACATGGGGAGGGAGAGAGGTGTTTGAATTAACACGAGAGGAAAAAGAGAGAGAAACATGAAGCAAGAGATACAGAGAGAGAAGTTTGGTGTATATAAATGAAGAGAGAGAAAGGGCTTGGGTTTAAAAAGAGGATGTCTTTATCACATTTGTTTAGGTTAAAATATAGGTTTAAAGTGGCCAAGGGGTTGGAATATAGTTTTTGAATCCTTGGGTTTATTAAGAAATAAAATCTAAAAATAGGGGAAATGAAGATATTTTCCCTATAAATATTTATTGTTTTGGGTAGTTTATTGAACAATCGATTTATTTAGTAGTACATTATGTTGATATATATCGTAATACACTATATTGTATTTGTTGTTTTGGCTAAATATTATTCGACTTGTTTGTTTGTATTAATATTTATTATTTATTTGTGTTTGTTTTAATATTTGTTGATTTTTGTTGTTTATTGAATGATTGATTTCTTTAGTAGTACACTATTTTGACCTATTAAGTAAACTCACATTTTATGAACCCTAAATTAGTTAGATATATCCAAATTTTGTGTATTCCTTATTGTATTCATTTTTTGTTACACAAATTTTGGTACTCATTTAATACAGTAGGATTGACGATGGTTACCGAGGGAGTACAACTAGTATTTTGATATGGGGGGTCATTTGAGACCAATCCAGATGACAGACATATTGTTTATAAAAGGGGAAAATGAAGTACAATGGAAATAGTTCCTTAGAGGAACTAAAAAGTCATTGTGGAAATTTAACATCGTGTGATCCAAACAAATTGGCTATTATGTACCACAACACAAGTTTATCTAGTGGGCTTGAATTGATTGATGTAAGTGACGATATAAATGTATCGTTTATGTTGGCGTAACGCCCTTTTGCCTGATCAACATGAGAACATTCAAGTGGTGCCCGAGCCTGAGCTCTTACCAGAGCGTGATATTAAGGATATTGAACCATTTGAGAGCCCATATAGATGAGTTAGTAATGAGGTTCAATGAAAATTAGGCAATTTTTTGAAAATGTCAATGAATGTCGGTATGGTCTGGTTGATTTTGCTATCCACAATAATTTTGTTTTAAAGTTTGACAAAAGCGAAGGCGGACAGGTGTAGGCAAGTTATAAGTCAGAGGGATACACATGGCAAATACGATGCTTATGAGTTGGCAGTACGACATACTTAAAATGAAGTCAGTGGTTAAAGAGCACACATGTAATGGTCCAATAGGGAGGGTCCATTAGCCATTAGATCATAGTGACTGAGTGGCAAAAAACAACTAAAGCCCACATTATTGTCCAACCAAAAATTAAACCCAAAGACATCGTAAAGGATGTCCAACACGATCAAGGTGTCAGGCTTTCCTACATGCAAGCTTAGCGGGAAAAGAGGTTCGCTAGAGAGATGATAGATGAATCATATAAACAACAATGTCATGACCTCCCTTTATATGTGGAAAAGCTCTGAAGAACCAACCCTAGAACCTAAGTTCTCATCCGCACATATGAAGGCAGGTTCAAACGACTATTTATTGCTTTTCGTCTATGCATCATGAGTTTTATTAATGGATGCAGGCCACTAATGGGTATTGATGGGACCTTTTTAAAAAGAAAATATCAAGGCATATTATTGTGCTTCATTGTTGTAGATGCAAATATTGGGCTCTTCCCAATAACATTTGCAGTGGTCGAGAAGGAGAACTACCAGAGTTGATATTGGTTCTTAAGTATATTGAGTAAGCTACTGAATGAGTTTCTTAATCTGTCTGCCTTAACAATTGTATCAGATCGACAGGAAATCCTGCCAAAAGCAATAAAAAATGTTTTCTCACATGTTTTCTAGCATTCTGCATGTGATATATGGGAGAGAACTTCAAGGGCTTTATGAAGAAGTCAGCAAATACCGAAGTATTGCTAATGTTGGTTTGAAAGGCTGCCCGTAAAGCCACCATTGGTAGGTTTCAAAAAATAATGTTTGATATACAGTGTGTCGACCTAGAAGCATATGAGTGGATTAAAATATCACTCCAGAATCTTGGGCAGATGCCTATTTTCGAGGGGCAAGATACAATCATTTTACTTCTAACATAGCCGAGTCATTCAATGCTCGGATTTTATCTGCTTAAGATAAGCCGACTATTGCAATGTGTGAAGAATTAAGGATATAGTTGATGACCAGGTTTGAAGAGAAGATGGAGTTAAGTAATAGTTGCAGCGGCATGCTAGTATTGAAAGCCCAAGAATTACTCGACAAGATGACGACAAGATATTTACACACAGTTATATCTGCCACGGATACGCAATTTGAGATCCACTATCTGGGGAAGAAGTACGCTGTCGATTTAACTCATTGGATGTGCAGTTGTAGAAAATGACAACTTTGTGGCATACCGTGTCGTCATGCCATTGTGGCTATTAACCATATGCATTGGATCCCATTGCGTACTGTTTTCAGTATTTCACAGTGGAATACTCTAAAAGGACAATTTAAACTCCCTTTGGGCCTATCCCGGATGATATTGAGTTGACTGGTATGTTTAACCAGAAAGTATTGCCACCAAGTACGACATGCCTTCCCGATAGGCTGAAAAAGCAACGAAAAATATCCGAGGCTGAATAGTCCATGACCAAGCCTTTAAAGTGCAAACGATGCAGCACAGTGGGTCATAATAGGAGGACTTGCAAAGATCCGATAAGCCATCAGGGAGTGAATCATAATTTGGTATTTTTTATCGAATTATCATTTTGATGAATTAATGAAGATCATGAATTTCATATTGTCAATCTTCTGTTTTTTTACTTGGTTTTATATACGGATCATTACATGCATTAGACTTTGGCATTTTGTATCAAATTATCATTTTGATGAATTAATGAAGATCGTGAATTCCGTGTTTTCAATCTTTTATTTTTGCACTTGGTGTGATATAGGGATCATTACATGCATTATACGTAATAGAAAATGTGACATATTTGTTAAAATAGGTGGATATCATACTTTGGTGCTAATAGTAGAGGACATGCCCTTCCAAGTGTGGCCAATACACCTTAATATCAAGGAAGCCCTAAAGAAATTGTAGTAAAGGTCAATGGTCTCATTGTCAATGGATATGCAATCCACATATGAAAATAAAACATTTTCGATTGTTGAACAACCAAAAGTTTGACAAAAGCTTGGAATGTGCATTCTTATTTTTGGTTGTTCAACAATCGAAAATCGAACATTTTCAGTTGTTCAACATCCGAAAATGTCTTGTTTTTTATTGTTGAACAACCAAAAGTTTGACAAAATCTTAAAATTTGCATTCTAATTTTTTATTGTTCAACAAACAAGACATTTTTATTGTTGAAAAATAAAAAAATGCCTTGTTTTTTATTGTTGAACAACAACACCAAAAAATATCTTGTTTTTGATTGTTGAACAACCGAAAAAAGGACTACATATTCCAGAAGCTTGCTAGAATATGCAATCTTATTTTCGGTTGTTCAACAATAAAAAACATGACATTTTCGTATGTTGAACGACCTAAAATTTTATTTTTGGTTATTGAACAACACAAAGTTTGACAAAAGCTTGGAATTTGCATTCTTATTTTCGGTTGTTCAACAACGGAAAACAAGACATTTTCGGATGTTTAACAACCGAAAACAAGACATTTTTAGATGTTGAACAACCGAAAATAGGATTGCGTATTTCAGAAGCTTGCTGGAATATGCAGTTTTATTTTTGGTTGTTCAACAACAGAAAATAAAACATTTTCAGTTGTTCAACATTCGAAAATGTTTTGTTTTTGGTTGTTGAACAACCGAATGTTTGAGAAAAGCTTGGAATTTGCATTCTTATTTTTAGTTATTCAACAACTGGAAACAACATATTTTCAGATGTTGAACAATCGAAAATGTCTTGTTTTCGGTTTTTCAACAACCGAAAATAGGACTACATATTCCCAAAGCTTGTTGGAATATGCAATCTTATTTTCGGTTGTTTAAGACATTTTTCGGTTATTCAACATCCGAAAATGTTTTGTTTTTGGTTGTTGAACAACTACAAAAATAAAACAACGAAAACTTTGAAATTGATCAAATGTATATCTGTCCACCACTATAACGAAAAATTTAAAATGATCAAATGAATCAAATGTATAGACACCACTATACACCAAAAACTACGAAAACTTTAAAATATTGAAACTATATATTTGTCCATCATCATCATTATCATCTAAGCCGTTAAATTAACCTCTCAAAATTACATCATCATCATAATCATCTAAGCCTATTTAAATAAATTAAAATGTGTGTACACAAACTCAAAACACCCAAATATTGCCAGAAAGACTATTATATTGTTCAAGAGTTTAGTATAATATGATAACATTCCAATAGTAAAAAAACCATTACATTGTCAAAAAGATCATTACATCGGTCGCCTTATCTTGGGCTGCTACTGTTTCTTTCTCGTATCATGTCTTCTAGGCTCCACAACCGTAGGTTGTGTGGATGGAGCCAAGTCTTCTGCAGCTCGACTACCTTCACCTACTACATCTTTTCGGGGTTTGTCATGTGCAGCTTCGTGTTGTAAATTTTCCATAATGGCTTCTATATCATCTATGTCTATATGTACAAACTTAGACAACATTTCAAATGCGTTGTTAACGCGATTATAAACTTCAGGATACCACTTCTGTCTAAATGTAAGTGCCTCTGATGATTGTACTAGTCTGAACTATACTAACCTGCAAAAACAAGATAGGTAATTATAATATTTAAACAATTTCATGGAACTAATAGGTAAGTACAAAATTAAAACAATTTGTAAGTCAATATAAACATACTAACTGATCCTCAGATCCTCGAGGTCTCATTATATATCGTGCACCTCTTCTTTTTCCTGGTTAACAGGTTACAATATGTCTTTTAGTGGGTTAGAGACATTATGAATTATAGGATGAGGCACTCGTCTGTACCAGGCCTTGTACTCTTCTGAGGGCAACTAATTGGTAGTATCCACTTCAATGCCTGGTATCATGTGCTCATGTCAAGTCAACCAATGATGGATTTTGTTAGAACTTATCTTTCTCCAATCTCGCTGCCCACCTTGTCTACTAGACCTCTTACCAACATATATGGGATATTTTGGAATGCCTTATTTAGCTCCAAACTATCGACACACATGATCTGGCATATACGGCTCGAGAATATCGTCAAATATCAGGGTCATTAAGCACATTGCGGTTTCGAATGGTTGTCGCCTATCATCTGAAATGGGCTCATCAAGCTTGAAATATGGATTCCATATTACCTATTATATGATATGAAATCAAACATACGACAAATCAATCAATAAACAACTACAAATACTTAAATACAATTAAAATTAATCAATAATAAATATTGTAATATCAAATTAAACACTAACCTCATCAGGTTGAAGGTTATCAAATTCTGATCTAATGGGAGGCATCAAGTTATGTGGATTGCCAAAATAATTTTTTGGTGGCTTCCATCTTTTTGTCCTAGGCATATTTGGAGAGATACTATGTGGTATGAGCCTCATATGTATAATATGCTCATAAGATCAGCATTGCATTATATCAAGATATGATAAGTAATAATTTTTTTAAGAAAGTAGTCTATACTACTATGCTTATGTCAGATAAAATATAGTTTATTAAAACATTTTCGCTTGAAAGTACAAGCTTTTTCAATGGAACGATAAAGATATTCGAGAGCTGCAGCACCCCAAGCATATATGCCGGCTTCTTCAATATCCTTAAAAAATTGTAAATACCTCGTTAACACTGTTACAACCGATGAATCAGCAAAAATGGTGACGCTGATGAGGAAGAGCAGAAATGCTCGGGTATATCTAACAAGGTGGTAATGAGTGAAAGTTGTCCTCCAACCATGAGTGCTTGATAGCTATCAAGTTGCCTCCAGTGGGGACTATACCCAAATTGTTTTCTATGAACTCTTGGAGGTCACTAATAAGATGACATGTAATATGGTCATCATCCACAGCCATTCCCAATATCTAGTAAACATCAAATAATGTAGGTGTCATCTTACCAATGGAATGTTGTAATGAAATGAATTGGTATCAGAACGTCACCTCTTTATATTGGTTGCGACCAAAGGATGATCAATTTGACCTGATCGGTTAATAGATAGTGCACCCAACCCAGATGCGTTCACTAATTGAAGTTACTCATCGGTTAGCTGTAAATCATTTATTTGAAAAGTCTTTTCATCAATTCTAATTTCTTGTTTTTTCTGGAATACAACAAATAGACAACATATGAGTCACAATATATATACATGTACTTCCTGTATGATGTTTAAATAGACTACAATTTATTGAAAAATTACAAACTAATGGAAAGAGCAGATGAATATATGTATATATTTGTCCTTCCCATATGAAATGAGATGAATGTTCTGGATGAAGTTGCAGCAAACTAAGGTCCTGAAGACCTCATGGGTATCCCCCATCTGGATGGACACGATTTATATTCACTGAAACCCATATGGTCACCATGTTAATCATAATGTTACATAAGCAAAACTTAACTGAATAACAAATAAACAATAATGACATATTATTATATGGAAAAGATGGTTAATTTTAGACCATAACCTAGTGTTATGAAGCTCTTCAATTTAACTTATAGGTTCTAACACAAGTACTACTCTGTAAAACGAACATAATAATACAAAGAAATGAATATTGAGACACCAATAACTCATATCACATTTGCATATAGACAATGAAAGAATGCTAAATCACATATTAAACCTCCAAATAGGTGATCACAAATTTACATATCGAATGAGCTCTCAAATAAATCTAGTCACGGATTATTTTATCCAAAATATTGATGCCTATATGCATAAAGTTATTTATTTGCTATGTACCCCTAAAACCACAAGCATTTGCAAAATGGTCAAGGTAAATCTGTACTTGAATCATAAATCACACAAATTTTCATTTTAAGCCACTCAATTTATCAACAAGATAAATCAACCCTTTCCTAAGATATCACTAAATCTATCACAAATCTGTACTTAAAACTATCTAAGCGTATAAAAGTTAACACACAATACAATATAATGTAAAATCTGCCCAGCATTCAAAGCAACACATCAAATTTCGAGTTCTAAAAACAAAGCATTCAAAACAAAGCATTCAATCACAGTTCTATGAATTTCCTCACATTCACTAAGAAAAAAGTAATCAACTCAATACAACCTCTTGTAAAAATTTCGAATTCTAAAAGACCCCACAAATTTATAGTTCTCAAAAACCCCAAATTTTTAAATTCTTATACAATTAAAAAAAAAAAAACAAACTTAAGTCAATAACTCTTGTATAAATTTCAAGTTCTAAAAATAACTCAAATTTACAGTTCTTAAAAGCCTGAAAAATTTACACTTCTTAAAAACCCCAAATATCACTTAAATAAATTGTCATAGTTATAGAACTATGAAATCCATCAAATAAACCCTAAATCACAAGTGTCAAACCCTAAATCATAATCTTATACAATGTAAACTTCTAAAATCAAACAACAAATCATTTTATACATACCTTCACTGCTGATTTGAAATCTGTCAAATGCTTTCAAAATCTGTCAAAAACCTTGTAACCAAATCTAAAGAATAGGTTTTCTTGTGAGAGAGGTAAGAGAGAGAGAAAAATTTACAAAGAAAAGAAGGTGGACCACTGGGGCGCCGAAACTGTTGAACCAAAAGTTTAAACAAACCTTATTATTTTCGGTTGTTCAAGAACTGAAATGAGCTTATTTTTTGTTTTTGAACAACCAAAAATCTGTGAATTTGGTGGCTCAAAAACCGAAAAAGGTTTTTTTTTTTTAACTTCCATTATGAAACGAAAAAAAACTGACATTCCAGTAATAACGGAAACTATTTGGTATTTTGGTAATAACATAAATTATAACGAATACATACCTAATTTTCTCTATTTTTTATTATTATAAACATACTTGAAAGCATATATCTATTGTTTCACTATTTTTTTTTTAAAGATCGAATTGCCCATTTTCGATTTTTCAAAATACCAAATGTAGTTTTTTGAAAAACCTAATTTCTTAGCTAATTTTCCGTGTCCTCGCTATGAAGTAATGCGCACTCTTCCTCTTCTCAAATAACAATCCCCTCTCTCTCTCTC